CGCCGCCGCCGCCGCCCTGAGAGGCGCCGTCCGGCGAGTCCACCCGAATCGGGATGAAAACGTTAAGGGGAAAAGAGAGAGAGAAAAAAGCGCTTTGCGCACCGTCTGCTTTTAATCCCGAAACTTGCCACCACTTAATTTCGCTCCAAGTCACTGCTCCGCTTACAGCCGTATCTGTCAGAGATGGTACTTCGTCTCCCGCTTCTCCGTTTGCTGGACTTACTTTCTGGAAGAGGATTTTTGGTTTAAACTCCAAAAGCCTGCATCTTGCCCTGCGGCAGTGTTTGTAACGCGCTGATGCCACACCGGATCCCAAAATAACAGTTCACTGTGCGCCCAGATCTGCAGGGGATGGAAGGGAAAGGCCACGCATAGCTCGCAGTGGTACTAGCAAAGCATGAGGATGCTAAAACTTTATTATTCTTTCTGGCTGTACTTTACTGACTCGGTAAAACAAAAACCTTACATATGATCAACTGTTAAACATGCCTTTAAATGCAAGGAGGCCCTCACACTTTAATTTGTGTGAATGAAAATGTGCTACTGAGTGATTTGCTTCATAATGCTGAAAAGATAAAGCATTCTATCTTCTCAATATTGCTAGGCATTTAAAATCCACTTTGTGCATGTTAATAACTAATAAAAGGAAGAATATGCCTTTGAGGGCATATTTATGGGGGGATAGTCAAAACATGGGGACAGAAATAGTGCTGGATGGATCAGGTACCATGCAGATGAAGATAGGGGATCTTTTTAAACTTATAAAATATAATCTAACCTTGCTTCCAGATCTTGCATCATTTTTGGTTTTAGAATCTCTGGAAAGAAAAACATTGCAAGTAGATCTTCCCCTTTAATGAAATTGGTGCAATTTTGGGTCAAGTCAAACTAGTTTTAACTTATGCCTGGCTAGAAACTTTTCAGGGTTTTTTTTTTCAATATATTATTAAACTAACCTGATCTGCTGCCAGTCTACTTGTGAGCTCTGTCAGCCTTTGACTTAGAGATAGGTACTCAAGTGGTTTAGTGGTCAATGTGACTGTTGTTGGAATCCGAAATTAACTCTGCAGGAGCATGGTTGATGGCTCTAATCCTCAACACCCTTCAATACCCCAGTTCTGCTACCTTTGTAGCTGTTAATCCAGTGTCTAAGATCACTAGAAGATCACTTCTCAGGACCAAAGATGGCAAGTTTCTCCCTTTAGACTTTGCATTTTTATTTATTTACTTACAAAGCAAAGTGCCCAACTGATAGTGGGAGGAGAAATCAATGTCTGCATAAAAGTCTGCACAGAAGCATTGAATCAGACACAGCATGAGGTAAAAACATTATCAGAAGTTTCAGAAGAGTTTCTAGTTTCAACTAAAGCATAAGAAGACGAGCAGAAGAGACACTGGAGTCCTAGCAGTGACAGGTGCCTTTTTTTTTAATTGGTTTAGTATAGCTAGTCTTAGGACTGTAACAGATCGTTCTTTTGAAGAGTGAAAC